GGTTTATTTGCTCTGCCTTAGGATTGCAAGTGTCCTGGGACAGGTGAAGGAGTGAGTGGTGAGCTGGTGGAGCTACTCAGGGAGGATATCAAACTCCAGAGAGAGACAGAGGAGAGAAGAGCGCAGGGAGAGAATGGAGAGACGTTTTTCTCTTCTTGAGAGAATGCTTAACAAATACATTATTAGCCATTCTCTATTAGGCAAGAGAAAACAGTGGAAAAAATGGGAATAAATCTTTTTTAAATGTCACATTGTCACTGAAACAACCTAATTTCTGGAGTTTATTTTTGTGAATTAAGTTAAAAATGAAATGAATAAGTTGTAATAATTATTAATTTGTGTAGTGTAATTTATTTGTAAATGAGTACTTTCTGTACATTTTGTATTTTTGTTTTGCATATTCACATGCGTAAATAAAAGAAGTATGTACATTGTTAGTTTTTCACAAAACATTCTTCTGTTTATTTTTTTTGTCCTGTAAATATTTTTTTTTACACATTAAAACAAATTGTTCTATACATTACTGAAAGTACTTTTTACAACTATTTACAACATAGCTTAGGTTTAACATCAGAAAAAAAACATCAGTTTTGAGCCCAGCCCTGCCTCCATGTGTTCTGGGGTCTTCAGGAGGTGAATCACTTGATGAATGGCCAGCACCTCCTCAGAGACTTGGAGGACAATGCATTGACAGAGGAAACGAGGCATGTCAAACACTCTGGAGACCACTCTGTATGATGTACCACTGGCCAGACAGAAAAGAAACACCAGGGTCTGGATTGTGGCACCCCATCACTGTTGGCGTGCACTTGTCAAAAGATCCAGCAGCACTGTCAGGGTATCCCTGCTCAGCCAAAAAACATTAAAAAACCTGTCCAGTCCTGGCACATTCAGCTTTATCCTGCAGTAAAGGGGTCTGCTCTGATTTAGGGAAAGAAGGAGAAGAGAAACTGTTTAGAGCTATGACAAAGTAATTAGTAGAAGAAATATTGAGGTACTTTAATAAACTACTTGTAGTAACAACCAGTGTTGGGGTAACGCATTACAAGTAACGCGAGTTACGTAATCAGATAACTTTTTTCAAGTAACTAGTAAAGTAACGCATTACTTTTTAATTTACAAGAGAATATCTGAGTTACTTTTTAAAATA